TTTGAGAATGTGGAGGTATCTTTCTCCTCTTTCTTTACTGTGTATCCATACTCTCCATCTTTCTGCAGATGTCTGATGGACGAGCTGCTACAGTGAGAAGGGGTTCCAAGTGCAAATAAGCAATCAGGGATGTAGCATGTCAACCACTGTAGTATAAATGAGCAACATAGACTCCTCTTTCCTCTCCATGTTTCCCAACAGAAACCACATGAGATTAAGCGTAGCAATTTCAGAGCACTGAATGGGCCCTTCCATATTGCTGCCTTTGCTACAGTATCCCATTTTTCAGCAGAGGATGGCAAGGTTTGGGATGGCTGAGTAACTATCCAAGGTTACCATGGACCCTACACATAGGTCTACACTTACGTCACCAACATCTGCTGTCCGTTTTGCCACCACCTCCCACCTCTGCCTCTGTCCTTGTCTGTGAGAAGTTATCTATGAACTCCACTTAGAATCTCTTTACCCCAGACTTAGTTCTGGAGGATTTGTTTTGTGCCTGGAGCTCCAGAAAGGCCTGTGGGAGGAAACAGCAATGGGGAAATGCCTTGAAATTGTTGATTTTCAAAAGTGTGTTTGTTCAAAAAGCAGGGTCCCCACTGTTCTCAAGGAAGTGGTGACCACAAAACACCAAAACAATGGCTTGCTTCACATTTTAGAGCATAGCAAAGGGAGAGAGTCGTTGCTGGAAAGCAGGTTCCTGTGAGGTCCAGGACACACAAGCACAACATTCTGTGAATGGCTCCTATCAGATCATTTAAAAAATTTTTCATTTGAAATTTTGTATTCGATGTATTCGTTTTATTCTATGTGTGAGTGTTTTGTCTGCATGTATGTCTATGTGCCATATGTATGCTTGTTGACTGGAGGGCAAAAGAGGGCACATCCCCTGGAACTGGGGTTACAGATGGCTGTGAGCCACCACATGCATGCTGGGAACCAAAGCCGAGCCCTGTGCAAGAGCACACGCCACGCTCTGAACTACTGAGCCATCTCTCTAGCCCCAGGCCTGAACTTTCCTAGGTGATTTCTCGTCAGTGTCATCCTTACTGCTCATTATTTGGTTCTTCACATTCTCTATGTGACCAGCAGCGCAGGGCAAGGGCAGGAACAGTGACTGCGGCACACACAGTAGGCGTTCTCGATGCACCTTATTTCTAAGAGGCCCTTTGAAGAAGGACACTGAGTGTCACACTTGGCTTTGTGAGCCTCCATTATGCTCAGAAAGAAGCTGAGGAACATGGGGAAGGTGGTGGCAGTAACTGTAAGAGACATGCGGCAGCTGTGGTCTCCTGTGGTTTATCATAAAGTGGCTCATCTGATGGTCTAAGGCAAAGTTCCATACACTGTGCTCTGATGACGTTGGACAATTGGTCATCTCTGACGTGTTAGGAGAACAGAGCATAAACGGTGTTGGATGGAATTGAGGGAGGGGTTTGGCGGTGAGTTGGTGGGCAGGAAACACTTCAGGAGACTAGCATGCATCTGCAAGGAAAAGAAAGAGTGATGGCTAATGGAAAAAAATCTAATTCTAATTAGGATCTGAGTACTTACAATTGAAAAAAGAGAAAACTCTGTAACTCCTTGAAGCTATAGTCCAACGGTTAAAGAACACAGATTTACCACTAAAATAATTGCCTTCTGAAAAATAATGGTTATTGGCCATGTGGTCGCCAAGGTAGGGAGGTGATAAGGGGAATAAATCAGACATGATTCTTTCTGTTGACTTAAAGGCAGGGCTGAGGGGATTAAACACAGGGGACTGAGACACCCAGGAACTGCACTGAAAATGTGAACAATCATTGTAACTTGCCAGAAAAGGCTGGACCCTGGGAACTGCTCTGATCAGTAGAGTCCAACCTAGGGACTTGTCAGTTAAAATTCTTAGAATGATATCAAAGGAAGCCAGAAGACTATGTGGGAGACAATGTGTCCTGTGGGGTAGGGGTGTGGGAGGCAGTGTGTCCTGTGGGGTAGGGGTGTGGAAGACACTGTGTCCTGTGGGGTAGGGGTGTGGGAGGCAGTGTGTCCTGTGGGGTAGGGATGTGGGAGACAGTGTGTCCTGTGGGGTAGGGGTGTGGGAGACACTGTGTCCTGTGGGGTAGGGGTGTGGGAGACACTGTGTCCTGTGGGGTAGGGGTGTGGGAGACAGTGTGTTGTGTGAGGTAGGGGTGCTAGCAGCATGGGGAAGGAAGCTGGGCTAAAAGGTAGAACTTGCTAGACAGTCTTGCTTTCCAGAATTAAACCGAATGAAAACCTTTAGTGTGTGAGAGTAAAGTACATGGTACTTTCCAAGCCTCATTGAGAAATTGCTGTGTTGACTCTCAGTCATATATAGTTTAGGTTCCCAAATTCTCCAGACACACAAAAGCCACAAAAGTTCATGTAAAATGGACTTTATAGTCTGTATAAAATAACTGTGGACACAACTGATAGCCTAACATTTGAGTCTTCCCTGCCTTAATTCTTTTTCCAGAGACTACCAGTGTAAATATTTCTAAATGAACAGTGGGGCTTGGAAAATTGGGTACCACACCACACCACACCACACACACACACACACACACACACACACACACACACAGATGCACAGAGGATCACTTTATTCTGCATATGATATACATGTACTGTATGTGTCAACAGTATATAGATCACAGACTTCTCACCTTTAAATTCATATAGGTCTGCTTCATCCTATCAAGGTCTGCACATGACTTCAAAGCGCCCAGCACTGTGATATATTTAACCATGTCCTTGACCCCATCTGTCCTCAGCAGACTCTCTTCCCCTCCTTCATTCATTCACTGAATTTTAAACATCATTCCCAGCATGTCAAACACAGCCTGAAAATTGCTCCAGGCTTGCAATCAAGTTGGATGTGATAAGATATAGTTGTATGAGTACAGTTATGAAATGTAAGAGGATCTAAAGCCACCTTCAATCTTTCCAATTCTGCAGCAGGGACCGCATAGTAGGAAGGGTGGAAATAAATAAATAACCTGCTTGGGACACCAGAGCAAGTCTACACCAGGACCATTAACAAAGAGCCACAGGAGTCCAGGGGACCAAGATGGCTCCCAGCAGGTCCTTCCCGCCTGTGTCCAGGCTGCAGTGCCCCCAGATCAATCTTCCCTCAGCAGTGCTTTGATCACACTTCTCCTCAGCTCAGAGACCTCCTGTGACCTTGCTGGCCCGGCCTCTCCCCCCATCTGCTACAGGAATCACTTCAGTGACATCACTGTCCCATTAGAATGGAGGTCATTGTAATATGGCCCAAAGTGCCCTGGAATTGTTATTACAAGTCCCGGGTGTGAATTCTGTATCTGTTGCTTTTCAGCTGGGTGACAGTGACCAATCCAACAACCTCTGAGACTTACAGTCTTCACCTGTTGACACCAGGCCATCTCCTAAGTTTGGTGTAGACATTAAATGAGATGATAAGGGTGAAAAAGTAAAAGTGTTGTGTGAATACGAGGCATATTAATTCCTGGATATATGTCTTATACATTCACAACATACATGATTGTGACTTTATAAATATAGTTAGTGTTTCTGAATGTATGCTCAAAAGTAGTAGCCTCTCTCTCTCTCTCTCTCTCTCTCTCTCTCTCACACACACACACACACACACACACACACACACAGAGTCTATCATATTTGTTTTGGACCCTGAAAAGTTGGTAGGAATTTGAGAGGGGAAGGGGGATAGCATTCCAGTCTGGTGGAATGGCATGAGAATGTGTTATGGGGTTCTAAAGCCCCACAATGTGTTTGGAAAGCCACAAATCATTTGATTTGCCCAAGCACAAGATTTACTCAAAGGAGAAGCCGGGGAAACACATTGAATAGAGCGGAGGCCCATTACTGAGCCCGCTCACAGGGGCTGGCCAAAGAGCTATAGGGTAAGGGAGCAGAGGGATGGTGATGATGTCAGAGACAGTCAGTTTCTCAGCATCCCGATGGATGAACAGACTGACAGGAACAGGAGGAACAGGAGACTGATGAGGAGGGACAAAGGAGTTGAAGAATTGTGGCAATACTGGTTGAGATCAGTTGCCTTGTTAATGCTTGGTACCAATGAAATAAAAGCCCATTTGGACTCCCAGGAGAACAAAAGAGGATTTCTCTTATGGGTGTGAGGAGATGAGCCCACTGGGGAAGAGAGGAGGCAGAGCTTGGGGAAGTTCCTTTATCTGCCAGGGAGGACACAATGAGAGAGAAAAGAATGATGGGAGTTGAATTAGCTGGTTTCTCATGGAGTCCTGGGCTGAGATGACATACTATCTAGGGACAAAAGGCGTGCCTAGAAAAAAAAATAATAGTGAAAGCTAAACTTGGGAAAGAACTCTTAAATCTTAAAGGAAGAGACAAGTTTCAGGATCCCACTTATTAGAAGCAACGGTCTTGATGATTATAATTTATTCTCAGCTGCCCCTTTGGTTCAGGAAACAGTTTCCTTCAAAGGCTCTGGCTTCGAAATTTTATTAGCCACGTTTCAATGACTGTCCGTCCTTAAAAGGAATCCAGATGCATTTCTGTACAAACAGTCTTCAATTCAGACATTTTCCCAGCTCAAGCCCCACTTTGATTTCTAATATGCTTGAATAAATAAGGCTACGCTGCAAAGCTAATCTGTTTCCCAAGGATTTAGAAATAAGTTGGAAACCAACTGTAAAGTATAGACTCCCCTGAAAAATCGAAGTATTTTGCAGCCAGATGTCTCTCAGAGCCTTTAACCAAGCAAAGCCTCGGTTTGTGTTCCTCCCCAAAGAAAACGGAGTCTCTCCTCACTGTCAAAACTAAACAAGGTTTCTGTATTTTATGTGGGTTTCCTCCATTCCATCTTAGAATATACCAATATCTATACTGAGAACAGCAACCGAACTTGGTCCCTCTTAAAAGTAGTGTCACTTTATAGAGATTAAAGCGCTTAAAGGCAATCAGCTCTCTTAATGGGTCCCAACCAGCACAGAGAAAAATCAATGATACGAACCCTGGCCTTCAAGATATACAATGCTTTATTTGCCTTCCAAGACTTCTCTCCACTGTTCTAGATAGCTGTAATATTTCAAAAGGCTTCAATTTTGCATTATGACTTTCAGAATTAAAATTATGTTATCAAAGGCAGTTTTGAAATTTTGCAGCAATATGAACTTACTGTCATAAATAATAGTTTGATTGTGAATGCATTATGTAGTCAGGAGGGATTGCTACGTTCAGAAACAGCGAACATCTCTGATGAGAAAGCAAAGGCTCGGTGCACAGTCCCTCAGCATATGTAATGGAGTGTCAAGAAATGGACTGGTTTTTTGACCAGTTCATTTTCTAGCAACTGAGACGAATATCCAATGTCTTTTTTTTTTTTTTTTAAGAAAAGTGAAAACAGTTTCCTCTTTGGTCTAGCTGGGTCTGTTGAGGATAAGAAGACATTGGAATGAATGTGTGGCCCGCCGGAGCCACAGAAGCCTCTATCTTTATTCCATATGGTCTGAAGTGCGCCTGATGGGATTTCAGATTGTGGCTCAGATAGCTGAGGGTGAGGCGACGCTCCTGAATGAAAGCGCCGAACTTCTAAATCCAATTCTCAAATTCAGGTCAAGTTCGCCGGAAGGTCTGCTGAGGCTGGTGGACCTCTGCGTGAACTTGCCTGGAGCTCTGAACTAAAGTCAGGGCAGATTTCAAATGAACCCAAGATGAGTTACGGTTTCAGGTGCCGATCACGTGGTAAGGTCCCTGCTGTGTTTCTGTTTAAGCAGAGGGTAAAGAGCCACATGAGGCAAAAACCTGTGTCTCTTCCCAACTCTTGTGAGTCACACACAGACAGAACACATAGCCTCCAGCAGCTGGAGCTGGTGGAGTTCTTAGAGCAGGCAGGCGCAGCGATTCGCTTCCTGTGGCTCATGCCACACAGTGCAGGCTTCTGGGATCTCCAGAGGCAGGGATGATCTGAACATGTTGTATATGCGTGTTGGACTTACTTCGTCCCGTCCTGAAGCAGGAATTTGTGCTGACGGCTTTACACAAAAACTATGTGCTGGGTAGACCGGCTTCATAAGCAGGTGACTGGCTGGAAGCGTGGTCTACTTTCCCTGGAGAGAGAAACACAAAGGGACAAAGTTCTGGGCTTCCAATCGGAAGGTCCTGGACCACACAGCCTTACACAAGTAACATGAACACAGTAACTGAGGAAGATGTGCTGGTCCTGTCCGCTGGTCTTCAGCGTCTGTGCTTCCCAAAGGGGAAGGTAACAGGACTTTATGTTTTGTGTTCTACTTTTGTACTACACGATTTTGCACAATCTTGGGAGTTTCCTTTCCACTCTCTTTTTTTCCTTCCTCCCTCCCTCCCTCCCTCCCTCTCTCCCTCCCTCCCTTTCTCCTTCCCTCCCTCTCTCCCTCCTTCCTTTCCTATAAAACATACTAGCATTTGCTAGCTTTTGGACTTCCTTCTACACTCTGGTATGATTGATCACTAAGTGATACCCCACTGCATTCCTCCATGAAACCAATATGGAAACTGACCTGATTTTCATTTAGACCAGTGGTCGTCAACCTTCCTAAATGCTTCGACCTTTTAATACAGTTCGTCAGGTTATGGCGACCCCCAACCGTAACAGTATTTCAATTGCTACTTCATAACTGTAATTTTGCCACTGTTAGGAATCTTACTGTAAATTTATGATATGTAGGATATCTGATATGTGACGACCGCCCCCCCCAACTGTCTTGACCCATAGGTTGAGAACTGCTGATTTGGAGTACTGGGCCGTTTCCACATATCTATTCTCAAGAAAGCACCTCAGATTCCCTCCTGAGGTGGTTAGAAAACTCCTAACATTGTCTGTTGTGTGGTTTAAACTTAGCTCTCATTATGTGAGAAACTGGGGAAGACCCTTAAATGCTTAGCATCTCCTAAAGACACCAAAGCAAGTCACCAGGCATAGCCTGGGCCTTTGGGGGACACTGTGAAATCCTCAGAGTGAGAGGAGATACTGGTCAGCAGGCAACTCTGAGTCTGCAGCCCCAGCTTCCTGCTAGCCTGCCCGCTGTCCCTGCAGACAGTTGAAACGAGCTCGAATTTATATCTGCAGCTCGCCGATATCTTTCATCTCTCCTGAATTTATTGATGTCCCAATTAAAAACTCTGAACTCTTGCAGTCAGTGGCATCTCACAGTCATTGCTGGAGTCTTGAGATAATTGTCTCAAGAACCGCTTGCTGCCTCTGCTCACGCAACCCTGAGTTATTGAGTTAGACTGACATTCGGGAAGTGTGACTGGCTTATTTCAACCCTTCAACAATTTAGTCAGCAGGCAGTTAAAAGATACTCTGAGGAAGAAATTGAGACCCTGACTGCTGTCTGGAAAGCGCCCTCTGAGATCTGGATAGATAAAGTGATTAATACTGGCCGCAAAAGTCGGAGGCTGGCACTTGAGACAAAGCCCCAGAGACAACAGTAGAGCAGCCTTGTGCCACAAAAACCTTTTTGCTTGTTTGCTTCTGAGTGTTGGGGATCAAGCCCAAAGTCCCAGTTGTGTTAGGCAAGTACTCTGCCATGGAACTATGCTCCAGCCCTCGAAACAGCATTCTAAAGAGCAATATTATGACTACCTGTGAGCGATAGTAGGGTTCTGATTTTAAAAAATGATTGGGAAGAGCTACATTATTTTTAAAAGTTATTATTTTTTATGTTATGGGGATGATTTTTTTTACCTGCATGTGCATCTGTGCACTGTGTGTGTACAGTGCCCTGGTGGCCAGAAGAGGGTGTTAGGTCCCCTGGAACTGGAGTTTTAGATGGTTGTGGGCCACCATGTGGGTGCTGAGAACCAAACCTAGGTCCCCTACAAGAGCAGCCAGTGTGTGTCTAGATTTTCCTACTGCTTTACTTTGATATCCACAACTGAAATTAATGGGGGGGGCACTAGAATAGCACACTCCGAGGTAACGACTATTTAACACAGTTTCTCAAACACTTTCAAAGTTAGCAAATATATGGAGGAGGGAAACAAATACTCTCTATTTTAGGACTTTCGATGCCCGCTGCTGTTTTCAGGCATGAGCTGGCCATTTGCAGTTCTGGGCTAAGGAGCCTCTGAAACTGCAATGATCCTGGTTCTTTATCTTCACTTTCCAGTTTTCACAAAAACCAAAACCACCCGGTGCTACTCTTTAGGAGTGAGGCAAGCCAGAACTGTCTGTCCAGAAATGACAGCCCTCCTCTGCTTTGACGTCAGCACTGTTCTTGGGTGTGTGTTCAGTGTAATGTCCATACCAGCCTGCTTTACATGGGCACAGCCTGCTGTGTTTCAGATGCACTGGCCCCTTAAATTACAGCAACGTGCAAACGGACCAGTAGTTACTAGTTACTGCATGTGATGCACTCACTGTCTTCCCTAGGCTTGCTGGGAGATTCCCAGTAAGAACATGCATCATTATGGTTTATTATTTGTCTTAGGAAAGAAGTAATCTAAATTGAAAATGAATTCATTGATGCAATAAGTCTTGGCACAAGCTCCTTCGACTCAATTCTTGGGAATCCCAAAGCAAATTCTTTTTTTTTTATTTTTGTCTTGAGGGGTGGAAAAAGAGAACAGAGATATAAAACTGTCAGATAGTATAGTGTGTGTGAGTGTGTGTGTGTGTGTGTGTGTGTGTGTGTGTGTGAGAAAGAGGATGATGGTTGGGGGTGTGTGGATATGCTCTGTCTGTCTGCTGCATGTTTGCATGTGTGTGGGTGGATGTGCATACAGGTACATATATACCTGTGTGTATATATGTGTGGAGTGTGTGTGTGTGTGGATGCATATGCATACAGGTACATTTGCCTGTGTGTGCACGTCTGTGGAGGGCAGAGGCTGTTGCCAGGCATCCTCGTTGGCAACTCTTCACCTTCCGTATTGAGGCAGGTCTCTCACTTGAATCTGGTTGTGACTCAAGTGTGTCTTCCATCAAACTTTTCCGCCTTGTGTCAGCATCTCCTTGTTTCCTTTATCATAGCTCTAGTCCTCGCATGTCTGTGTGCATTTTGAAAAGCTGTATGATCACTGATCTAAATGAAAATAGGGCAGCCCCTGTTTCACACTGGAGGTACAGCAGCAAGAGGACTGAGAACAGGTGAGCTGTGGACAGACATGAAGTGACCAGGGGCTCAGAATATTTGAAACTCTGCTAACATCAGCAGTAGTACATCATGATAGAGAAAGAGGGGGGGCTTCTCTGCCCTGATCAGTTACAATGGAGGATGGATGGTGGGACTCAGATCTCACTTGATAAAATAAGGATTTAGGGTTTTTGGGCTTTTTTTTTCTGTTTGTGAGTCTGATCATGTTAATTCTCTCTTGCGAACTTTTCATTCGTCAGCCTTTAGGCAAAGAATAAAATCTAAACAGGGATCGCACAGTATTGATGATGGTACCTTGTGGGTCTATCTATTCTCTCTGCAAAGCTCTATTCATTCAGTGATGGGAAGGAGAAGGTGTGGGCTTCCCTGCCTAGCCACACCCATGCTCTAACACCTCGACAACTTTGGTTGCTGCAACATCCTTTCTCTTTTATTCTCCCGAACCTTTTCATTCAACAGATTCCCACAGCCCTTCAAGTTCGCATCAAATACAACTCCCTAACCTCTCCCAGGGACTTTTTTTTTTTGGCACTTTCTACACCTCACCATCATAGAATAGCAATTATTTCCAGTCTATCTTCCTTGGAGGCAAGTATCACTGGTGGTTTCATTTTTGAGTTTCTGACATTTTAGCACAGCTCCTGGCACACAATGAAAGTTCTCAACTAATTAGTGAGATAAGAATTAGAGCTCGAATGTAATGTACAGTGACTTTTTTTTCTCCTAAGGAAAACTCCAGAGTCAGACAGCAAAAAAAAAAATCTGCAAAAATTTCCTAGTTGCAATCTTTCTAAGTTTCTTTTTTCTCCAGCTTGTTTCTGCTATTGCTAGAAGGGCATACTTAATGAGTTTTTTCACCTCCATCTCACTTTGGAATGACTTTTTTTTTGTACGGAAGCCTCCTTGACTGGCTGGAATAAATGTACTTCAACAAAACCCCAAGATCTTCCTGAAAAAAAAAACCTGTGATAATCTAAAGAAGGCAACTCTCTCTCAAATCCAGTGGCTCATCAAGAATTCTAGTAGGAGGAAAGCTATCAGCGCCTTTTAACCGCAGAACTAAATTGTAAACGCACAGTTGCTGAGCACCAGATAGTGATGGTATTTCTGGCTTCTCCAAAGCTTTCCCATCCATCTCAATTTTGATTCTAACAGAGGAGGCAGATCTTGTCTGCAGCTGAACATAACCCCACTGGCCTCAGCGTCTGGTGGTTCTGGGGCTAACCTCTGGGAAGCGGGCTAGACAGGAAGCAGCGTTACCTCTCGCTTCCACAAGCTGTAATGGGCTTCCAGATCGCATCTGTGGTCAATGACTGTCCGGAGCTGGCCAGCCTCCAACAGGCTTGTTTAGACTACTTGATGAGTTGACACGAGCAATGACTCTTCCCAGTGCGGTCGGTGTCTGAACATTAACAAGCAACAGTGTTCAGTGAAACTATTAAAGAGAGCAGGCGTTTTAATCTTTGTTTTGGAAAGGAGCCTTCCAAACAAACCCATGGTTTAGAAGTCCTGGGAGCAAGTGCCTGGGTGGTAGGAATAGGACAGAAGGAGGTGGGCTGGAGCATTGAGATCTCTACTCAGGGTCAGAATAACTGGAAAAAGAAAGAAAGAAAGCTGGCAAGTTCCCAGACTGCCACCCTTGGAGGAAGAAGTAAAGTACACGGTGCAATGAGTTTTCAGCGCTCTGTCAGCAATACTGTACACTTAAATTCCAAGCAAATCCTTCACAAAGGACTCCCTTGCCTTTGCTAACAGAAAAATAAACAACTTTCAGAGAGAGAGACAGAGACAGAGACAGAGAGAGAGAGAGAGAGAGAGAGAGAGAGAGAGAGAGAGAGAGAGAGAGAGAGAGTTTCTCGGAGGTTCTCGTCTTACAGGAGGTCTCTTATGGTTCTGAGATGGCTAGGATGGAATTTAGAACGAAGATGCTGGGAACTGCTGTGGGTCCCGGGTGCATCGCCTCATCAATAACGGTCTCGTTTGAAGAGTACAGATGGTGATAAGAACGCGACACAGGAGGCTGCATTTGCACTCCAGAGTGAGCACTTTAAGCAGAAACAAGGACATGTGAAAGAGAGGCGACCGGTCACCCTCGTGATTTTTCTCTTGTTCTTTTGACAACATAGAATACGGAGGAGTCTATCCTAAACAGAGTCTGGGGGTGGGGGTGGGGAAGTTAAAGGTTTTGTGCTCCAAGGCCAGTCTTTTTTATGTATTATTGAAGCAGTGTTGGAAGGTGAGGGCCCCAATAATATTTTTTCATCATATAGAAATAACCCCTTAATTTTTCTTCTAGAGATCTTTTGAGAACAAAACAGAACAATTGAACTTCTCAACACCCATGATTATTCGTGGGACTTAGCTACTGATTCAGCTGCCCACTGAATTTGTAAGGCAACACATCACATCATTCTTTAGCCATTAATATGTAGTTTTTACAGGAAGCAACAGAGTCTTCGGCGTTCCACCAAATCTGCTTACCTTCAGTCATTTGGAAAATTGGGTCCATCCAGCAAGCCTGAAATTGGAACATAGAATTGTAACATGGTTTACTCCAGATTTCATGAACGTGTTTTAAAGCAGGAGTGGGTGGAGACGCACATCAAACCATCACATGATATTCCAGTCAAAAAGGAAGCAGTATGGGGCCTCCTTATTCTACCGCCCTCTCCACCATTATCAAAGAAAATCTAATAGATTTTGAGAGATCGACTGAATAGCAATTTTACTGAAATTCCTGATCAGAAAAAACAAAAGAGAGAAAGAAATAGCAACATACTCACTGATGTCAGTAAGTACGAGGCTGTTGGAAATATTGAGGGGCCTATTTTCTTGATTATTGAAATGGAGATTAGCCAGGGTTAGCTGACCTTTGCTTCATTTATCTATATCTCTCCTGTACTCATATTTTAGAAAAATTGGTGGCATAAATTACTAGTAAAATCGCCTTACCTTATATCCAGTTTGGAGATAGCACCTCAAACCATCTACCTTTAGCATAAGACATGTGTGTGTCACTCTGCCGAGTTAAATGATACCAACACTCCCCACAGATTCCAGTTCTGGGACCTCTGAAAGTTGCTTTCTAAAACCAGAAGATTTCTCAAGACTTAACCGATCAAGCTAGAGTTCTTGAGATGAGGCATCCTCCTGTATTATCCCAATGAGCCTTAAATACAATAACAAGAACTCACAAGAGGAAGACGGTTAGACACAGAAAGGCAGCCAAACCCGATGCCATAGTGCAGCCTCTGAAGATGAAGGATTGGATTATAAACCAAGACAAGCAAGCAGGCATGGACGGTTGAGCTGGGCAAGGCGACTACTAAATCTATTCAAGTAGAAAAAAAAAAGCCCTGCTGGCACCGTGGTACCAATGAGACCATTGTGGGTTTTCTATCTTTCAAGCCACCAAGTTTCTGATAATTTGTTAGAATAGACCCAGAAAATACTAACACAACCATCTTTCCCTTAAACGACTTAGCAAATTACTCATAAAACTGACAGTGTTTCTTATAAATTTGTCTTCTACATATAGGAATCCTGGGTTTCCTAAGAAGTTTGCTATAATGTAGCAAAGTAAGACACTCTTTTAAAACTAGTGATGTTTAGAAGGATGAGTTTTGGCTTAACTAGTTTGGCTGGCTATTTTTTTGGCTCAACTCATTGTTGGCTAACAATTATACCATATGTAATAAACATTAAATATAGTATCTATTTCAAATCTGTACATTTTTCAGTTTAATTACTTGATTTCTAAATTTTGATTACTCGGTACTTAAATTTTCCCAGTTTTCATTCACTATTCTCTTTAATAAAAACAGAATTTTTTATTTAAAAGAGTTTGTTTCACTGAAACTTATGGGAAATTTCTTAGAAATTTCATGAGGCAATGGTGTCAATACATGCTAAAATATTAATCCTTTATATCGTTTTAAACATCTCTGGGACACCTGCATTGTAAGCATCTAGAAATGGCATATGACCATTAATAGGCAACGATTCTGGAGGGAAATGTGGAAAGACATATCCAGCAATGGGCACACATGATTCCTGAACCACTTTAGGGTGGAGACCCTCTCCTCAGCACACTGACATTTAGCTATAACACCTGTAGAGGAACACTTTTCTTCCCTTGTACCATCCCAGCCTGCCTACAAGACTGAAATGCAGAAGCAGAAAATGTTAGAGGTGAAAGAGCAAATCCTGCCCATCTGACAGTGGACAGTCTACTGTTACCTGTCTGGTCTCAGGAGCCCCAGGGAGACCAGAGACCATGGGTGTCGGCTCCCCTGCACCTTTCCTGATGTCAATGGGTGCTTTTCTCCTTTAGCAGAGCTCAGTTAATTTAGGAAATGTCCTTGGATTGTCAGTAAATTTGAAAGCCATGGGATTTTAAGAAAAAAAGTTGTACATAATCTACTAAAGTCATACAATTGCCAAATAAGACGGCTTTGAACAAAAATGTTCAACCTCACACAGGTTATCTGTGCTGAAAGGAAGCCTGTTTATAAGTAGAACACAGTAGGTTCTTCTCCCTTCCCCAGAGACTCAGGAGTGGAAGTAAAATTGTCCCAGTTTGTGGAAACTGTTATGTGGACTGGTACCCTGGAATTCTTGGAATCAAATACCTGCCCTTGCCCATGGGCCTCTATGCACAGTGACTTTGGAAACAGCAACTGCATTCTATCTCAGTTACTCCCCTTTAAAACAATGCTTTAAGACTAAAGGGTAGTATTCAGGCATCTGTACTGGCCTGCCCTTGGGGTTCTGACAGGATTCATCATCAGCTGTAGCCACCAAGAGCACCACCTGTGTACATTCACTATGTTCCCATTTAAAGGCCCTGCCCACCTCCTCTATCTCTCCCTCTCTCCCTCCCTCCTTCCCTTTCCCTCTCTCCCTCCTTCCCCCTCTCTTTCCTTTCTGTCTCTCTCTGCTTCTCTGCCTGTCTCTCTGTCTCCCCCTCCCTGCCTCTCTTTTCTCTTTTCTGCTGTTCCTGTCCCCATAGACCAGTCTCCCTCCATTTCCTCCCCTTTTTCCCATCCCCTTTCCCCTAATAAAACTAACCCCTCCACGTGAGCTCTGTTGCAAGATGTCTTTCTCTCGAGTGCCACTTTTAAGACTACAACACTTTCCAAGTCTTGAAGAATATCCTCAAGTTTTGTCTTACTTCTGTTTTACACAACCTCGTTAATTTATCTACCCTATATTAATTGGTACCCACCATGCAAAGCAGTGTAATGCTATCGCCTGGTTGTACTTCTCACTGCCATGTCTTCTTTTGTTTCTTTCTCAGGTAAAAATTTCTGCCATAAATACCATGACCTTATGTGATTCCTCTGCTCTACTCATTGATGGTAGTTGAATTTTAAAAATTGGAGTTAAGTACTGGTTTTAGGGGCCAAAAGATTACTCTCCAGTCCCAGCTCTGCTACTTGCTTGCCTTGTAACTTTATTTGGCCCTCTTAATCTTTCATTGTCTTCATTTGCAAAGTCAGAGGTAAGGATAGCTATATATAGTGCTTATTAAAAAAAACCAGGAACAAATGAAATAACCAGATAAATATTTTGAGTAAAGCCTTTTGTCTTAGTTACTTTTCTATTACTGTAATAGGACACCATGACCAAGGCAACTTTGAAAAGAAAGAGTTTATTTGAGACTTAAAGGATAAGAGTCTGTGACCACCATGGTAGGGAACATTGAGGCAGGAAGATAGACATGGCTCTGTGGCAGCAGCTGAGAGTTTAGATCTTGGTACATGAGGGAGAGAAAGAGAGAGAGACAGAGAGAGAGAGAGAGACAGAGACACAGAGAGACAGAGAGAGAGACAGAGAGACAGAGACAGAGACACACAGAGAGAGACAGACAGAGAGAGAGACAGATACAGACAGAGACACAGAGACAGAGACAGAGAGAGACAGAGACAGAGACAGAGACATAGAGAGGGTGGGAGGCAAGGGCTTGTGAGATCTAAAATCCTGTCCCCAGTGACACACCTGCTTCAAGGCCATACTGTCTCATCCATCCTAAACAGGGGATCAAGCATTCCAATATATCAGGGTATGGGGTCACTCTCCTTCAAACCATCACATGTGGGTACCATTGCTCTAGATGAAGAGATGTGACTTCACACTGTCCTGTTAGGACTAGGTCAATAGATAAATCGGGACTCTTGGGAGGCCAGTATTCACCTGAATCTGCCTTCTACAAACATGTTTCTTGTAAATATCTGGGATCACTTTAATTGGTTAGTATTCATACTAGATTTGGAAACAACTGTGCCAAGCAGACACAGACTGAGAACTTAAAAATTCATCCCAAACAATCCCTTTCTTTCTGTAAGTTGCTTTGCTTGGGTATGTTGTCACAACAATAAAATGGTTATAGGATCCTTTAAAAAAAAAGTAAGAGGATCCTAAAATAAGATGTCTAGGTAATTCAGTCACCCACCTAAGATATAATACCTAACTGTGAGAAGGAAAAACAACTTATAATAAAAATCACATGTGCTTCTACATGTAAATACATGGACAGCAAGGCACTGAAGACATAACAAAGTGATTATATGCTTGCACTTATTTATAAAGAGTAAGCATGAGTTCAGAAGGCCTCGAGTCCTTCTGTTTAGGATGTTTGGTGAAATGAAACAGGGAAGTAAGAATGGGTACAAGGACAAAAAAAAAAAAAGAGTGCTGGCTAAGTACCAACAAGCTAGACATATTTGTATCTGATAATCAAAAGAAGAGAAGCTTCTGGATTTAAGTATGGAAAATGTCAATGGAAAATAAATTCAAAGTCTAGAAATATTCTTGCAAGTGAGCTAGCCCGCTTTTATGACTGTAATGTCAAAATAATTCCCAATGTTATGACATGGTTTGGGAAAGCTACAAAATATCAAAGAAAATGTCCTATCTTTTAAGACATGCATATCTTAGTTCTCTCTTAGGATGCTTTTCTGTGACATCTACAGATGAAGACAAACAGGTTTGTGGTTCAGCCTACTCAAGACTAAGTTGGGCGTGGTAGCTTTGGGCATCATTTTCCAAAATGCTAATGAATCTTACTGAGGGGGATTGTGATAAAGCCAAGGATATCTTCCTTTTGCTTTTTGATTAGTTTTTACCCTGTATTTTCAGCATGTCTTAAGGGTGATTCAAAGACTTCATGTCTCTATGCAAAATAGCATTTGGGATTAGGCTCAAATAACAGTAAACAAATTCTCCTTTAGGTGACTATTTGGTGTGTGTTGGGGGGGTGTTCAAAGGGCGAAGATCTGACTTCCTCTTTGGGTTTCTTTCCTCTGCCTTGTAGGGCATTTAGCAAGCTTGCACCATCAGAGACTACAGAGTACACAGCCAACTGTGGAAGCCAGCAGGGCTCCCAAGCATTTCTGAAAAGGCCTCTAGGGGGCGGTACCACCACTACTGAGAACCAACAAGATGGTTGCTAGAGTTTGGCAGGTTCTTCTCTACCAGCCTCTGTGAACACACTTTCTGTTTGTTTCTTTGTTGTCTAACCTAGGAAGTCTGATGTGATAATTCTAATTTTAATGTCTAATGCACTATAACAAAATATACGTTTTTTAAAAGAAACCCCTGACTGGAAGTACACCTTGATGACTCTTTTTTGTTTATACATAATATGTATGGTAACATAGTAAAAGGGATACTTTGTGGTATTTCTGGATGTACTTTATGTTGCTTCTCCATCAATGAGAACAATCGTTGACATGTAATTGCTGCTTCTGGTGATTTCTGTTGCACACATTGAAGAGGATATGTTCATATATATTAGCATAGAAAAGAGGGATGGTCTCAGTGTTTAGGACCACACTCACTACTTAGGAAGCACAGTCATCCATCAAGACTTATGCCTGAAGACACACAAGGCATAGGCATAGCCCAGAAGATGAGTGGAGTGAATGGAGGAGAAATTTGGGAATAACAATATAAGGCAATATTCTAAAGGCTAGGTCAGCAAAGTAGAGTCTTGGCAAGCCCACTGCCAAAAGGAAAACCTCCCCACCGATTCCTGTCTGTATGAGACCCATGTGGTCTGTTTGAGTGGCCTTCAAGAGCAAATTATGATGTTGTGGCGTATTAGCTTAAGATGTGTTACATTCATTTATGCCATGGAAATTTTTTTAATGATGCAAAGATGTGTTGCATTCTTTTATGTTGCATTTGATTAACTCTGTGAATCTATGTTGCTTTGCCTGCCTAAAACACCTGATTGGTCAAATAAAGAGCTGAACAAGCAATATCTAGGCAGTAGAGCAGTAGGTAGGGCTGCCAGGCAGAGAGAATAAACAAGAGAGAAGAGAAGGGAGAGAAACGAGAAAAGGAGGAGAGGAGGATGCCAGGGGCCAGCTACCCAGAAAGACAGTCAGCCATGGAGTAAGAAGTAAAGAAAGATATATAGAATAAAGAATGGTAAAAGCCCACAGGCAAAAGGTAACCAGGATAATTTAAGTTAAGAAAAGCTGGCTAGAAACAAACCAAACTAAGGCTGGACATTCATAAGTAAGAATAAGCCTATGTGTATTTATTTGGGAGCTGGGTAGTGGGCCCCCAAAGAGCAAAGAGTTAAAAAAACCAACTTTAGTATGAAGTAGAGGCCCTGATACCAGGGTGGGGCAGAAGATCTGAGAACTAATCCAGGAGATGTCTGGCCTCAGAACAGAGCT